CCTCAAGAGAAATAGTTGAATATGACTAGAATATCGATTGTTAAGGATACACAAATCACACTATATAATATATGTTGAAAATTGAAAATAAGAAAATGATAAGTGGAATTAGAATTCCAACACCTTATTCTTATACTTAGTTTCATAACACTTCTAAATTAAGATAATTTAAAAATTAAAAAAATCAAACATTTTGTTGCTATTACATTCAAGTTTGATGACAAATTAACACAAATCAATTTAAATCACTATTTTTATAGGATGATACTGTTTCTAGCTAGACTATGTCGCAAAAGCTTGCTCTAAGGATCTTCAAAATAGTATTTTTCGGGTTCAATTTCACGATATCTTCCTCTACCAAACAACCAATCCAAATGACTCCAATCCACAACCAATATATATACCTTGGTTACTATTTAATCTCACCCACAATGGACAAGATTATAGTGTTGATTTGTAGGCCGCAAAGGCATGAGAAAAACTATGGAAGAAAGGAAGAGAAGAGAGACCAAAATACATAAGATAACAGCATCGATTTTCTCTCAAGTATGGTAGCCGATTTTCAATAGGAGCAACCACATCTTTCCTCTTTTTCATACACAAATCACATACTAAATGGCTAGGTTAGGCTTTCTTTGGACCAATAAAAGATCAAATGGGCCAAAATTCAAAGTCATCCAAGAGATAATATATATGGTTCGTGAGTAACATTAATTTCTTAAATTACTTTCAAAGGTCCGTGTTATATGAGGGTCAAGCCTTTGGACTTGGTTATTGGTAACAATTTCATTCATTGATCAATGCCTATGAAATTCCAACCAACGTTTATATCATAGCCCCAAAGTCATTAGGTATTAAAATCTAACAAATCTCAACCTTAATACCCAATCAACTTGCAAGTAATTAAAATACAAAGTTAATACTTAAATAATCAAGGTAACAAATAAAATTGAAATCACTGACTTTATATTGTGTTTCAGATGCAAAACACATACCGTATCTATTCCACATACTCGCCAGGGCAAAGGTCACAACCAAATACCCAAGTAGAAATAGATAATCACTATGAATAATAAAGAACAAATAAACATGCGTGAAGATATAACATAGAACAACCTACAGATTTTTTCAAAAAATGTTCACATAGGACAACAGACTAACACTACGTTAATCAAACAAATAGCCAATACATATGCTACAAATGTATAAATGACTCTCACAAAAAAATATCGCCACACTTATCCTATTCCATTCCATGTTGCTTACACCTCGAGAACACACATTTCCTCTCATTGCCTACTAGATAGATCACTCAACTCATGTCTAATTGATAAACCCCAATACATTCTAAGTCCATAAAATAATCCTCTATCAAAATATCACTTCTTCCAACCTATATGGATAATAGATCTCTCCCTAACAGAAGTGATAGAAGTGTCTCTTCTCTTACACTCCATCAAATAAAGAGTTTCAACATTTAATCACCTCTCCACTCGTTAACCAAATGTGTACTCTACATCCCCAGTACATACCACTAATGTACCCCTAGGCATCTATAATTCAGCTTACCAATAGACACACAACACACTTATTGCTAATGCATCCTAACCCTCTATGCATGCAAACAATTGCACCATATATAGACAGCTCTCAAATTCATTCAAATGTATATATCAAAAACATTGAAACATTATATAACCATGCAACAAAATTAAGCAATCATACACATGTATAAAAGATTATACACAAATGTTCATACAGTAATTAGGTTTACTCTCAATAAACCTTACTAGGGTCATCACTCAAGCCTACAGCTACATTCACTTTACCTCTCATCTTATCAGTCTGCTTATCCTTCTTTTTGAAAAAGTCTCTCACAACGTGTCTAGACTTACCACAACTGTAACACCGCTTACCACCAGACTTGTTCCAACCCTTGCCTTTCTTTTTAACACCATCGTCACTCGAGTCACAACTTAAATAATTATTGTCTTGAGCTCCAAATTCATTTGCTTAAACTTTATTTTACTTTTTATCATATGTAACTCACCACTCCTCTTATCATCTTTTTCAACCTTAATCTCGACCTCTTTACTTTTAAGAGAATCAATAACAACCACAGTTTTTAGAATGTCCCTACCATACTTAATCACTTCTTAACCTCTCTATATGTGTTGGGCATAGAATCAAGCAAGATAATGGACTTATATGTTTCAGACACGTTCTCATCACAAAGTAATCCAAAAGTTGCAGTATACACCGTTCTATATTCCAAGGTTTTTGTGAGATTCAAGATCTCGATATCAAGGGAATGTTCAAATGGGTCAAGACTAAATGTTCAAATAAAATAATCAACGTGACACAAAGGTATGTCAACAAAAATTGAAATTCTCACGCAATGCAGTCTCACACAGTAATTAAACAACAATTAAAGTACAAAAGCAATTACCAACTCGCAATCAAATTCAACATCTCATGCACAGCGAGTAATTCCTGAATTTCTAGCACAATCAATGATTACCCCACACAGTAACCCCAATCCTAATGTCACCCAACATGATGACACACTAATGCTAAAATTTAAACAGGATAAGCTAATATATCAAAATGGACCAATCCGAGTCCATAAATAATGAGAGATGCAAATTTACTACTTTAAGGCCATTACTATTCTCCTAAAGTCTACAGCAATTGTAGAAATCAATCAACCATGATCGAATTCCGAATGCAGGAAAGATAAACTTGTCTAGATTCCACTGTATAACCTGAAACAGAAAATTAACAACACCAAAATATCAAAAAAAGATGCAAGGAACAAATTACCTGAAGATTATGGTGTTGATTTGTAGGCCACAAAGGTACAAAAAAAAAACAATGAAAGAAGGCAAGAAAAGGACCAAAATATACAAGATGAAAGCACCAATTTTCTCTCAACTATGGCAACCAATTTTCAACAAGAATAGCTACATTTTTCCTCTTTTCATACACAAATCACACAAGGCGAAGATTATATAATATATATATATATATAGACTCGGTTATGCTTTAGTTGGACCAATAAAAGAGCTGGATGGGCCAAAATTCAAAACCATCTAAGAGGTAATATATGGATCGTGAGTAGTATTAATTTCTTAAGCTACTTTCAACGGTTCATATTGTTTTCGGGTGGAGCCTTTGTGGTTGTTGGGAACAATTTCACTCGTTAACCATTATTGATGAAATTCAATCCGACGGTTACATCATAGCTCCGGATTCATTAGGCATCAAAACCCAACAAACTATTACTTCTCAATGATTTTGTACGCTTGCAAAATTTCACCAGATATGTTTTTCTTACGTCGTACTATAGAAGTTTTAAAATCATAAAAATGCATTTACATTTTTTTTTTTAATTTAAAGACATTATCACAATTCTTGCTTTTTCATTTCATTTCAAGGGGGCCACATTCGATTATGTGGAATATCGATTGTGGTATAATTGTCGATTAAGTAAATCCTATCAATTTTTGGATGAGAAAGGACGTAATGTAACGTAATGTTAATGTTAGAAAACAAATTGAAGTTCAATGTTCCAAATGCGACAAATTATACTAATTGAATTTTTTCTTAAAGTTCAGTAACATAAGATGATATTCACAATTGTAAATATGCATATTAATTAGAATATACTATCCTTGAAAATAAGTTTTAGAAAAAAAGAGTTGGTTTTAAGAGATGACAAATAGAAAATAGTAATTTTTTTAAAGAATATGGGTTAAACAGTGGAGAAAAATTTTGAGTTTATGTGAATTTGAAGAAATTGCAATAAATGTCCACTTTCATATGGTCATTTGCAAAAATGTCCATTTTGCAATAATTTAGAACAAAACATCCTTGTTAACAATTTCTAACTTCACCCTAAAGACAATTACAATTAAAAATTGTGTTGGCCAATAAAATTTTTACACATAACCTATTCTACTTATTACAAAATGTACTAATGTGAATAAATGCATTAAATGCTAAAATCTTGGGCAAATAAGGCAACCCAACCCAACACACTGAGCTTACACATATCACTACTACCTTAAAAGAGTGGATAGGCCAAGCACCGTTGATATGTGCACCCTTCATTTCAAACTGAAACTGGTTCGATACTATTCACAAACTTGTTTAGTTACTGTGTCAAATTATCTTTCAACTACAATTTATTGCTTTGCTTTCTTGCAACCACTGACTCTATTTCTCTTTCTTCTCCAATACAAACGAATGCAAAGCGAACCCTTGAACTTTTAGTCTGCCTCACCTTCGTTTCTCCTCCCTCACGATAGTAATAATCTATATAGAGATCCAAAGCTAACAATCTGTAGGAGATTTAGTTCTAGAAACTTCTTTGATCTTTAAGGGTGTTTTCTTTATTAAGCCTTCAAACATCAATGATTTGGGATAATCCAAGCGCCAATCAAAAGTGCCCATCCACTTTGTAGATAATCAGTACGATCACCATTTTGAGGTCCACCTCACCAAGAAGAAGATCTCCGCTTATGAATATTGATTTTTTAATGGAAATTAGTGATTATAGTGGATGGAGGGATAATTATGTGATATATGGGGTTATGTAAGATTGCACTCTAAGGTTGTAGGATTTCAAGTTCATGAGTTGTCATGTAAAAAAGAAATGAAGGAAATAGGATGACACTAATTATTTTGCTTTAATACCCAAGTTTTGGTATTGCTAATTTGTTATTTTCATATGGTAAGTTTAATAATTGTAGTTACTAGCTATGCATTTTTTGTCATACTGTGTATGTTGAAAATAGTTTTCAAAATGGATTTTGATTTTGTAAATTACTTGAAAGTCACTGTAGACTTCAATTGAAGAAACGAAGGTCTTTGGATACTTCCATCATCCCCAACCAAGCAGAGGGTGAAAGGTGTTGTTGGGGGGGGGGGGGGGGGGCACAC